GAGTCCTCTCGTTTGCCTAAGGAGGCAGGTGTTGGAGGGTTGAGCAGGTGAATTCTGGTGAACTTGGACAAGGGCTACCTGAGCTCAGATGGAAAGCTGTAGTACTAGTGGGGTAGGGGTGGCTCCCAGCACACACCAGACACAGGTTCTTCATCTCTTCATGGCTTGAGTCTTCTGCATTCTCTGGTGTGTCTCATGGTTGAAATCACGTGAAAAATAATTTGAAAAGCTCTTTCATCCAGTCCCTGAGTTATTAGTTACTTCTCATCACTGGAGTGAAATATTTGACACAAACAGCTTAACTAAGGTTGGCTTTCGTTCATAGTTTCAGAGGTTCTGGTCCAAGCACTTTTACCCACTGGGCCATCTCGCCTGCCCAACTTTAGAATTATTTTGTCATTATTTATTAAATGACTAGCTGGGTTCTTCTTTTTTTTTTAGTTGGAATTGCATTGACTCTGTAATACAAAGTAAGACATTCTTTGTGTTCAAATTGTTCCCTAATCAGCTGCACTGGCCCGAGTTTTGCAGGCATTGTAAATGGCATTGATTTCATATGGATTTAAATATACTCCCTGAACTATTTGAAAATCAATTGCCATGATGTTTAAATCTCACTCCTAAATAATTAAGAATGAACTTCCTCCGAGGGAGGCACTTTTCTTATATAGCCACAATGGTTTTTTTTTTTTTTTTTTTTTTTTTTTTTACCACTCCTAGGATAATTCTCACTGATTCATCAATTAGCTGTTTACAAGACATGCTTGTTCCTAATAAAGCTGTATTGTTCCATTTGTTTTGGTTTCATTACCCTTCCTCTCTTGTCCTAGGCACTGAGCTATGTTGGGATGTAGAAAAAAAAAAAAATCAAGCAAAAGTCCCCCTCTCCAGCCTTTCAGAGTCTTATAGAGTGCCAGAGAGACAGACATTTAAGGTGTGCTAGGCTGGGATAAGAGTAATAGGAGCTGTGTCTGGTTTCCTATCCTTCAAGGAGCATGTCAGCAGAAATGAACTCAGCCCTGCCTGGTATTCTGAAGCCTCTGCCCTGTCCGTGATCTGCCCACCTGCTTCTGATGTCCTAATCCAGAAGGGCCTGCCTCCCTCTAAAAGGATCAGGCACAGAAGACAGGATATCCTCCCTCCTTGGATTCTTTCAGTGTCTGTACAGTGAGGTTTGGCCACAGAGCTGTAGTGTAGAGGACCTGGAGAACCAGGCTGAGGAATGGGGACATTATCCTCTAGGTTAGCTGTATTAAGTTGAACACGGACTTGCTCATGGATACCAGGCATCTAATAGCTATGGTCTAATCGAGATAGGATCCATTCTTTTTTCATGTATGTAATAGCTTGCCAAAGATTGAAATATCGGCTCGGATCTATGGGTTCATGTTGGTTTATAGCTTTGTTGTTCCTTATAGCATGACATCATCCACACCTCATGCTAGGCAGCATGATAGAGAAAAGGGCAGCCTGTTCCTTCCCTTTCAGGCACATTTTGGAAGCTATGTGTCTCACTTCTGTCTGTATCCCACACCTACATGCAGGAAGGGCTGAGAAAGTCTTCACTGGGAGTCCTTGTACTAAGCTAAAAATAGCAGGTTTTAAGAATGGATATTGAGGGGCAGTTTGCAGTACCTGTTATACCAGCATCTCCAAAAACATCAAAGGGACTTTCAATAAAATTAGTCTCTGAAAAATGCTCCATAAAAATACAATTATTGCAAGGCATATTGCTTCACGCCTATAATTCTAGTCCTTGGACTGAGGTGGGAGGATTGGCTTACACAGTGGGTCCCTGGTCAATTTAGGAGACCCTGTGTCAAAACCCCCCCAAACAGATGACAACAAACCCAGATGTATTGTCAGTGATTTGGGGAAACATTAAACACTATCAATCTTTTTGAGTTTCATATTGCAAAGCAACATACTAAAGACTTGGTGAAGTTCTACAATTAAACACATATGCATAGTGGTCTTCGTTCAACCTAAGAAAATCTGGCCATAAAAGTGTTTCATACCGTACTTTATTTTTCTTTGAGAAGCCCTGTTCACAATAGCTGTGGGATTCCAGAAGGTTCCTTAGTGAAACCACAGGAACATGTGGGAATTGTGTCAGTCAAGATTCAGACAGAGTCAGTAACTGCATCATGTATAAAAGGATTGCCACAGGGACTAGATCTTACGTAATGTGGGGACTAATTAGCCAGTCTGTGTAAGACTGCTGTCTGCGTGGAGCTCAGTGTCAAAGGGTAGGTGGATGTGGGGGAGTACAGTGATCTTGGGAAGGAGGAGGCAGATGGGACTCATGGGAGTGGATGGGGACCTAGGTCAGTCTGTCACTGCTTCTAGTTTTGTTTTGAGACAGGGTCTCACTATGTAGCCTTGCTGGCCTGGAACTTAATCTTATACTCTCTGCCTCCCAAGTGCTAAGATTAAAGGCATGGGCCACCACGCTTGGCCAGTTGCCCCTAGTGTTGGTGATATGGGTGTCCTATAAGAGAAGTTGATGTCCGGGGTTGGAAAGATGGCACAGCCGTTAAGAGCACCAGCTGCTCTTCCAAAGGTCCAGAGTGTTCTATTCTGGCAACCACATGGTGGCTCACAACCATCTATAGTGGGATCTGATGCCCTCATAAAGTTGCACATGCAGATAGAGCACTCATATACATAAAATAAATAAATTTTTTTTTTAAAGAGAGAGAGAAGTTGATGTTCTTTGTAGACGAGAAAACACACCTAACTTAGGAAGTTCGAGGCAGTCCAGGGGAAAGTGTCTGTAGCATCAGCAGGCCTGGCTGCTGTTTCCACCTCAGAAGGTGAGGATAAGCAACAGTACAGGTAATTTGCCAGATGCCCCAACACCAGCCTTCCAGATGTGACCCCTTCCTTCACATTCACCTTCACCTTTCACCTGAAATATGCATTGAATGGAAGTCTTGAGCCACGCAGTTCAGTCTACTCAGGTGAGTGCCTTCCAGAGCCTTCCCGGGCACTTACCAGATGGCAAGCATAGAATTGTTTGAGCAGTGCTAATTGTCATAGCTTTTAATGAGCACTCACCTAAATGGGCATCAGTAGTTTAGTAGATAAAGTGCTACACCCAAATGATTGAAGTGATATATTGGACACATTCTTATCACCATAGGTGAACAAATAATGAGCAAAAGACATAGCTGTTTGCTTTTATAAAAATTGAAAAAGGCCAGCTGATTCAGGCCATGGTTAAGACGGATAAGAGGATGGATTTGGAGGGCTCTCAGGAGGTACTCTGATGTGCATGTAATATTCTTAATGCCTCTTGACCTTCCTTTGCTTCCTATGCAGGAATGCTCTCTTTGGGAAAACTTGGTGTGTTGTATAATTTATAGTTAAAGCTAGGCTTCAGTACAGAGACTAGGTAAGTTAAATTTCCTCAAGTTATAAGTAGTTTCAGATTGAGTAAAAGAAACTTTTAGAAGAGTGGGGTGGAGCCTAGGGATGTAGCTCAACTGTGTCTAATATGCACAAGACCCTCGGTTAGATCCCTTGGATTTTAGATGGATGTTCATGCATAATAAGGGAGAGAATGCAGGAATGTGGGGAGACTTGATGCTTAGGAAACTTACCTTGACTCTCAAACTTAACACTCCCTGTGAACATGTTTTCTGATCTTTAATCCAATTGTCAGAATGTCAATTTAGCCTTTTCTGTTTTATAGAATTTTAATTCCCTGTTCATGCTTTTTGTTTTCAGTGAATTCATTAGTTGGATAGAATTGTGATTCTTTTCTCCAAAATAGATTCTTTGAAAGTGCCTTGGGCTCCTGAGTGAGGGATGAGCCTCTGGGCCGTCTGCAGTGACTTGCAACTGGACTAGGTGTTCTCTGATGACCCAAACGATGATCCAAAAGTGGTGGTGGCGAAGGTAGTTGGTGGTGTTTTGAAAACCTAGAAAAGTAGGACTTGGGGTGCGCTAAGCAGTTCGCTCAAAAATGAGCTCTTGCAAGTTACTTATTCTTTGACTTTGGAAAATTTTGAATATGCACAAAGCAGGACAGATTATTCCATGATGTTCTCTCTGCCCGTAGCTTATGTGGCTAATCGTTCAGTGCTCTCATTCCCTATCTGGAGGACGCCTGTTGTTGCTGGATTCTAAAACGTCGCCTACCTTCTGTCATAACGGTCATCCAATTGAGCTGTACCTGCTGGTCTCACTACCCTCTGTCACCTTGTTACCAGGAGACTCTCATCCCATTGTGGTCAGGGATGATGTCTTATTCTTCTTCATGTTTCCAACCCCTAGCTTAGTAGAAACCCAGAAATTAGTTATGAGTGACTGAGTCCCCAAATTCCTGACGTGAAGAACTGATCGTTGACCCTTGAAGAAGACCACATCTGGGGAGAGATGAAAAGGGGGTGGTATGCTACACTGCTCAGAGAAGTAGGAAAAGATCCAGAATTGCATCCTGTGAGAGAAATCAGGAGAAAGAGAGGGGGTTTGAGGAATTAGCAAACATCGCAAGGTTGTCAGTGAGAATGAGGTTTTTTGTTTTGTTGCTGTTGTCTGTTTTTGTTTTGTTTTGGTCAGATACTTGTGGCTATAGATTGTAAGATCAAAAACAATCTCAAGAGATCAAGGTAAGAACATAGGATGAAGAAATGGGAGCATAAGGTTAAATAGATAAATCAATCTCCCTGTACTTAGAGAAGTGAAGCCTTGAGAGAAAGATTTGGGAGTGGCCTGAGTAGAGTGGCACAGCCACAGGGAGTCACCTGAAGGTCACGGAATTTGAAGCAGGGGATAGGGTCCCTCCACTGCCCCCTCTTGGTCTTCTGGTGTAGTTTCATCAAGAGATGGATGAGATGAGCCCATGAGCATCTATCTCCTCTCCTCACTGGTTCTGGATCAGTCTGATCAAACAGCACATTTTTTTTTTTTTCTGAGAAGCGATGTGTATTGTGCTGTGCTCTTCTCTCGGAAAGATTTTTGTTTATTTTAACCCGACCCCTCTGTTCCTACAGGAAACATGGTAGAATGGTGCTTACCACAAGACATTGACCTTGAAGGTGTTGAGTTCAAGTCTATGGCCAGTGGGTCCCATAAAGTTCAGTCTGATTTCATGTGAGTACTTCTGAACCCATCTTTCTCTACTTGATCCTTCCTCTCCCACGTCCTCCAGAGCATGGTATCAAGAGGTGTCTTCAGGTAGTGTATGTACGTATTCTGTGTTTATCCAGTTTCCCAGCAAGAAGGGTTCCAGCTCTGAAGTTGGCAATGGGTCCTGACCCTCCCAAGCTGACAGTTCCTACAGTGGAGGTTCTGCTATTACTGAGCAATTGTGTGACCCTCATGGAGGTTTGGTTTTAGTATAAGAGAGGAGTTTCAGTTTAGTTTAACCTAAGACATCTATATGATAAACTTGGAATACTAGCTTTAAGCAGGCCAGTTTTTAGTGTTGTATAAATGGTACATTGTGGATTTTGTGAGAAGCCAATGGATAAATTGCTTTAAGGATAATTTGTAGCTTTAATTTCTGCACTGAGCTAAAACCAGGGCTGATCCAAGTGTGTGAAGGGGAAAGAAGTAAAGTGTCAGCCTCATTGATGCTGTCAGAGGCCAGGGAACTGAAAGAATCGGGATTTATGCTGAGAAAACAGACTGAGTTCCAAAGGAGTCTGGACATCGCCTTGGTTCTGGCCCTCCCATGGAAGCCGTTAGTTATGCCAGAGAGGATGCCAGGTTCTGTGGCTGTGGGCATTTGAGTGACATGCCTGTAGAGACCACATGCTAACTCTAGCCCTTGACTCTGGGATGGCAAGTTCTGGAGTCTTGGAGCCTGGGCAAATCCCTGGGAGATTGGATGACTTCTTTTACAGCCGAACTTGGTTATTTGGAGCTCTGAACATAGCTATTTGGGCTGAGATTGCATTGCAAAGGAAAAAAAGCAAAGATCTGTCCTCTTCCTAACCTGGAGCCACAGTGCATATTTGGTCTATTTCAGCTATTTTCGGAAGGGGCCCTTCTTTGGCCTGGCCTGCTTTGCCAACATGCCTGTGGAGAGCGAGCTGGAGCGCGGCGCCCGGATGAAGTCTGTGGGTATCCTCTCTCCATCTTACACCCTGCTGTACCGCTATATGCACTTTCTGGAGAACCAGGTTCGGTAAGTGGCTTCCAGACATGGCTTTTGTGTGTTGGGGGAAGCAGCAGGATCTGCGAGCTGGTGCCTGTGCAGTGAGTCCCTGGACCTGGAGGCTGTGGGCCAGGACCACAGGTGTCCTTCCTGTGGCATCTGCGGCTCTGGGTCAACCCTCAGCCAGTGCTCCTTTCTTTCAGCAAATGTATTACAAAATAATTCTTTATCCTATAATGAAAGCTGAGGAAGATATTTGCTTTCAGTTTTTATTAATACGCTCATCAACTTTAATCAAATTTATTTTAATCAGACATGAACGTGATCTTTGTTTACACTCAGCTGCTAAACTAACCTTTTTTCCCAGGTAGGCCGGTGGAATTTAAAAATTGTTTTGGGTCAAATCACTTATTATTTGGGGTAATAGGAGAATATGTGACAGAAGCAGAAAAATTATTAGTTACTATTATTATTATTAGTCTCTATATATGTACATGTATATATGTGTATATAACACATAATGCAGGTAACCTAGTTGAACTTCAAACAATGCTGGCGAATTTTATCTCTAGTCCTGGAAGCACCATTAAAATTTTAGCCTCTTTCTGCTGTGTATATTTGTGTGCTTTGATAAAATATGCTTGACAAGTGGGCACAGTGGTGCATTAGCCCAGGAAATAAAGGCTTTCATTAGTAGCAACGTAGCAAGACCTTATGTGTCACAATTACAACATATATAAGTGTGTGTGTATAGTGTGTGTGTGTACATATAGTGTATATATATAAACTATTCTATGCATTATTTATTCATTCATTCATTTATTCATTTTGAGTTAGAATCTTGCTTTGTAGCCCAGGCTGGCCTTTTAATTTGCAGTTGTATAGGATGCCAGACTTTTTATACAAGTAATGGGATGTGAACTGCAGAGTGCATGATTGTGCAGCCATTGCTCTTAACCACGGAGCCACCTCTACAGCTCCCCTGGGTCATAGTTTAAGTTGATGGGCTTTAAGCTAGTCCATGTCCTTTGTCCATCCTTCTTCCCTTCATTTTCATGGTACTCCCTGTATCTTACATTTTATCCTTAATGTCTGGCTCCCCCCATCTGCCCAAGAATATTCTGGAGTGAGCAAGAGTCTTAACTGCTTTTGGGTACAGAGGAGTTGGCTTTCCCAGCCTCACGAGATCTAAATCAGTGGATTTTAACGTAGATGACCAGCTTTCTCTTCCTGAACAGTGATTTTTCAATCACTCTCTTCTTCAGCTTCTAAGCCAATGGTTCTTGATTCTGTAGCAACTCATTTTCTGCGTACTAACTTCTGCTTTAGTTAAGATAGAAGCTAAGTTACTGTAACAAAGAGGAGACCCCAACGTGCAGCGGCTCAAACAAGTCAGAAGCCCAGCTTTGTAGCCTGGCTGTGCCGGACCACATGGGAAGAAAGGCTCCTGTGTGGGTGGTGACTGGAGCAGGGCCTTCCGTCTTATCCACCTCCTAGTGTGACAGTGGAAAGTGACTCACTGTTATCAGTGACATTTCAACCAGGAAGGAGAGAGACCGATGCAAAGATCACAACTTGAACACAACATCACTTCTGCACATTCCGTGGGCTAGTTGTTGGCCACTGGCCATACCCAACCGTAGGAAGTCTGGGGACATGTAGTTCCAGAAGGGGTGATGTCATCGGAACTGTGGCGGTCCTATGTACTAAAGGAAGAAGAAAGCAGACTGTACCAGTGTCATGAACTCCGACTCTCCCCAACTGTCCTGTCCATCCAGAACCCTATTAGTCACTATTAACTTCCCATGTGTCTTCTAAAATTGATACTTATGTATGTATGTATGTATGTATGCAAATATATACCATATTGTTCTCTCTTTCATACAAGAGAAAGCAAGTTATCTATTTCCATTCTGCCCTAGTAGAGGAGCTCTCACATGGGTCCACCGAGAGCTTCTGTATCGTTTTCCCTTGCTGTTTAAAAAGGCTAGAACAGAGATGAGACTTTGATAACAGGGCATGAGGAAAGAAGAGTCAGGGCTGGGTGGGACAGTGACTGTTGTGTAAGTTAACTAGACTTAATTTCTGCACTGCCTAATCTGCATTTAAATTCATTCTGACTTCTGATGTCCCATGCTGACTTATTAGTATTTTATCTACAATTGTTACCTTTATTAGCTCTCCAGCTGTAGATCTGAGTTCAGTCACCACAACCCACGGAAGAGAAAAGCCAGGTGTGGTGGTGCATGCTTATAATCCCAGCACTGGGGAGGTGGAGAGGGGGATCCCTAGGGCTCACTGGCCAGCTGTCCGAGCCTACTAGACAAATCCTGGGCCAGTGAGAGACCTTGGCTAAAAAAAAAAAAAAAAAAAAAAATCCTCAGAAACCATTCCTAAGGTTGACCTCTGACCTCTACCCATATTATCGAACACACTATCCTGGTAACCTTACAGCATGTCATAATAGGTAACTCAAGGTTTATTTAACCATTCCATTATCATTGGGCTTTAAGATTGTTTCTTATTTTTTGCACCTATAGACAAGAGCATCTTTTGGGTAAATTCACATTCAAGAACAGTTCTTTAGGGCAATTTCCTAGAAATGGAATCATTGGGACCAACTGCCGTGTGCAGTTTGCCATGTTTGACACATCTTCAGAATGGTGATGGTACTTTCCCCATGAACCAGCAGTAAATGAGAATGCCTGATTTTTTTTTTTTTTTTTTTGGTATTGACTAAGCCCAGTGACAGACCGGCTCAGACCAGTAAGGACTCCACCAGAGTGGCAAAGTGTGATAGCTGACAGAGCATCTCTGGTTCTTACAGTGGATGAACTACTGCAGAGTATGGTAGGGAACAGCAACCATCTCTGTCCTGGGCATCTGCATAACCACATGTGGCTGATCAGTGCAGGGGGCTGTGGGCCTAAAGAGAATCCCACCCAGCATGGCTGCGCCTACAGGGGAATCCTTGATCTGGTTCACACAGGAGGCGCTTCATAGCAGCAGCATATACCGAGTCACGTAGCCCCACTGTTGACAGCAGGACTCTTGCACAGTTTCCATGGGTGGCATGATACGCAGTTCCGTGCAGTAGTTTTTAATTTTCCTGCCCTTATTGAACCTCATTGTCGTCATCTCCATCTTTGAAAACCACCTTGTCTGCTGGCACTCTGTTGCTCTAGTACCCTTTACATTCTCTTGGTGGTATGGCTCGATGATCTATTACAAAGTCTCCAGTGTGTTTAAACTCTGAGGCTTCCACACGACAGTTGGATGACGTTCATCTCTGAATTTCTGTTTAGGCCCGAGCTTCTGTCTTCTGTTCTACACTGTCTGTTACTGCCTTGTTCTGTCCTGGCAGGCAGGGATACCTTAGGCTGTTAAGGACAGAGTCCTGACATTAGCTGTTTTCTTTTTACATCTACACATTTCTCTCTGTGTGTGGGACTGGGATCAGGCTTAGTAGAAAAACACTTTACCCGCTGAGCCATTTCCATGGCCTTGTCTCTAGCTTCCTGTCTAAAAGACTCAGAGTACCGACTTTTTCTGTAGAATCTTGGTCCAAATGCAGCGTTGACTGTAGTCAGAGTGGAAAGACCAGCAAATGAGTAGCAAATCAGCAAAAAGAAAATGAAGGTGCATTATTTAAATCACCTTGGATAAATTACCTCTTTTAAGACAGAATATATAGATTCTCCATGGGCTTTTAAGGGAAAATAGATCTTAACTCAAACACTTTTGAACTTTACCTACTCATCAAACTGGACACATTTCCCTGAAGAGTACCCACAACCCTTTTGCCTTCTCAGAACAGCTCGCTCGCCAGACCTTAGCCACCAAGGATTTCCTGTCCAGCCCAGGAGCACATACACACACACACACACACACTTTTTAGTTTTTTTGAGACGCGGTTTCTCTATTTAACAGCCCTAGGTATCTGGGAACTCTCTCCGTAGACCAGAGTGGCCTTGAACTCACAGAGATCTGCCTCCCGAGTGCTGGGATCAAAGGTGTGCACCACCACGCCCAGCAGTAATCTCTTTTAAGTACTATGATGAGTCGATGTTACTGCTTTTAATACAGACTTGTGCACAAAGTCTCTTGCCCTCACCTTGTCCCTGAGTGCTGGCAGTCACTCTGAGCAGTTTGAGTTACAGCGTGGAGTAGTCTCCTGGTGGGTCGCTGGATGGGAGGAGCAGGGGTTGCCTGTTTGTAATCAGTGTTGTTTCACCTATAATCGATGATGATGTCCCTTTTTCTCCCTGAAGCTTCTTTTTAATTGTTTGGTGGTCATTGGAAAAGAAACCAGGATTGAGAGGGCTCTTTATTCATCCTTCTATTCATTTGCTGGGACAGTCTAACAGGATCTGTCATGCGGTGCCTTAGAAGAAAGAAACTTCCTGTCACATAGTTCCAGAGACTAAGGCTCAGAAACCAAGTTGTCCGTGTCAGCAGGGTTTCTTCCCACGTCTCTTCTGGCTCCGTGCTTTGCTGCCTGTCTCTAGGTTCCTTGGCATCTGCATCCCCCTCAATGTCAGCCTTCATCTTCACATGTCTACCCCAAGCTTGTGAGTGTATGTGAATTTCCCCTTTTTAAGTCACACTGAATCAGGGTTCCCTCAAAATACCTGGCTTTAACCTATCGCCTTGGTGAAGATCATCCAAATAGAGCCAATACTGGTCCTGAGGGAACGGTACCAAGGTAAAGGCCGAGATTCCAGCATAGCTCTGGGGAGGGAACAAAAGTCAACTTCTGACATTTCCATTAAACATGATGCCCTCACTTGGAGGCAGGTTTCTGCATTGTCCAAATGCTCTAGGACCTCAATAGCATTCATTTTCTTGATCCAGGGAACAGTTGACAAGGCTTTTGGCCTGAGCACAGGATGTGACCGAGGGGACTGCAGGGAGAATGTGTGTGTGTGTGTCTGTCTGTCTGTCTGTGTGTGTGTCTGTCTGTCTGTGTCTCTGTGTGTCTGTCTGTGTGTGTGTGTGTGTTTCTGATTCATTTGGATTATTACTTGATGTGAAAGTGTGAGCCCCCGTGGCCTTCAGTCATTACTTTTCCTTTCTTTGGAATACTAATAACAGTACCAAACAGAAGCATGCTCACATTCTACACAAAGCAAAGCAGCTGTAGGCAGGGAGTGTGTGGCCTTCCAGGTTATCTCTTCCCACAATAAACAGTGCTCTGAGAAGCACACGTGGCCAAAGCAGCATAGCTTGCTCAAGAAATAGACACTCAGCACAGCCTGTTCGTTTGCATCTATTTCATGCCGTCGAGGAGTTTCAGGCCTCATGTTTGAATTTTGCATAAAGATCTTCTCTAATACTAATGGGGACTTGAAGTAACCTCCAGGTGCAGACCTCCTGAGTGCATCTGGGCCTTTAGCTCTTTGGGTAAGAGATGCACAGTTGTGCTGGGCAGAGCTGCTCACTGTACACGTGTGTTACACAGACACCAGCTGGAGATGCCGGGACATTACTCTCATCTGGCTGCATTCTATGAAGACAAGAAAGGGGTTCTCCATGCTGGCCCCGGAAGGGGTGGCAGCTTACCGCCCGTCTACTGGCTGCCTTCCATCCACCGCTACATGTACCCTGAGATGAAGGTGAGGTTGGCCATTCTCTCACATATCTGGGAACAGTTGTGGTAGATTAGTTTTTAAATGATAAGGAAATAATGCCTCAGCCTTGTACGGAATTCTGCTTTTGATAGAATTGGGTTAAATATAAGCATTTGGGTTCATTTAAGCATGAGGCAAATTACCTTAAACAATATGCCGCCTAGCGCCGTCTAGCGCCTTCTATAATCATAGAAAGCCATATATGCTGGACCACTCACTTGTGGTGGACTCCTAGGATGAAGGATGCCCTTGATTGTGTTGGTTGCTTCTGCTATTATAAAGCCAAACATCCGAACTAATGATGAAGATTCTGATGAACAGACAAGGTATTTCTTAGCTATGTTATTTTGACGTTATTTTATTTGGAAATTTTGTGGCATCCTTTACATTGGTACTAGCACGTTTGTTTAACATTAACAAGAAATCTGGCCGTGCAGTAGGTGTTCAGAAAGAATATGAATCTCTGCTTCCTCTTCCTTCTCCTTCTCCTCCTGTGGCTGGGCACAAGATACTTCAGTGAAAATTAGGACTCCTCTTGTAAAGAAATAATGCCTGAGTTTATGGGAGAAGGCTTAGTTAGGATTTCTAATATATGAAGAGACACTATGACCATGAAACTCTTATAAAGGAAAACATTTCATTGGGGCTGGCTTACAGTTCAGAGGTTTAGTCCATTATTGTCATGGTGGGAAGTGTGGTGGCAGGAAGGGAGACACTGGCCCTAAAGAGGCAGACACTTGCCTTAAAGAGACACTTGGGCTTTGAAACCTCAAAGACCACCTCCAACACTAATCCAACAAGGCCACCTATTCCTACAAGGCCACACTTCCTAATAGTGTCACTTCCAATGAGCCTGTGGAGACCATTTCCATTAAAATAATCACAGGACAGGCGTTGGTCACTAAAGCATTAGGGCCATGTGGGAAAGAAGGGGTGCTAATTCCAGACCTGTTGGCTTGGGATAGGAGGGGGAACACGATTCTATTTTCTCAGCATATCCTATGAGTTAGGTATTCTGCTAATTTATTAATTTATCAATACCTGTTGCAAGACTCTTTCAAAGTGAGGTTGTTTGGGTTTTTGTTTGTTTGTTTTGTTTTGTTATCCTTGTTTCCTATTGAAAGCAATTGAGGTTTATCAATGAAAGGTTCAGTGAGTTGCTTTAGGCCTTATAGCTAGGAGACCAGGAAAATCTAAACACAGGACTGTGCCAAAGCCAGGGTCCCCTCCCTACCCTCCCTCACTGCTTTTGCAGAGATGTGGACAAGGGAACACAGACATGCTGATGGGCCAAGAGCCAGTTACTTAAATGAGATTGAGTTTTTATGTCATTTGGCCATAAGGAGAAAAAAAAAGTAGTAAGTAAGATTTTATGAGCAAACCAAGAGAGTATGTTAGGTATTTAAAAGTAATTCAAGATAGGAACTCAGTAGTGTAGAAGTCAGAAGGCTGAAGGAAGAAGCAGAGAACACAGGAACCCCTTATGTTAATAATCTCAGACAATAGTTTCTACCCTGTATTGGCCAGCTATTGCTGCCTAACGAATCATTCAAGATTAAAAGCTTAAAGTAGTGCGTGTATATGTTCCCACAGTTTCTGTGAATAAGGACTCCAGTCATGGCTTAGCTGAATCCCAGATTTAGGATCTGCTATGAGAGACGTCAGTTAAGGTTTCAACCAGGGTTGGAGTCTCAGCACAAGACCCAACTAGGCAAATACCCATTTTCCTAAGTTCATATGGGAGTTGACAGGATCAGGTTTCTTAAGGGATGCCACACTGAAGGCCTCTATTAGAGTTTTCCCTCAGTTCTCCACCATGTGGGACATTCCAGTTTGGCAGTCTGCTTCATCTAGGTCAGCAAAAAGACTCTTAAAATTAAGTCAGAGTTCTTTGTAACCAAATCCTAGAAGTGAAAGGCCTGCAGCATAGCCATAGTCTCTTAGTTAGAAGCTAAGTTCCCCAAGAGAAAGGGGGGGGTTGCACAAGGCTGTAAATACTAGGGCCACCTTTGATGTTGCTTGCCATATTTAGGGCCGGGGCACAAGGAAAAGTGACATCAGGATCAGAGCCCTGGGAGCAGGAAGGAGGGTCCTTGCATAGCCTGTGCTTGGCTCTTTGAGGGAAGCACTGTGCCTCTGAGGCCAGGACTTCTTAAGTGGACGGTCCAACTGTGCTGAGCGCTGAGAGAGGCTGGAAGCTGGTGAGAGAGGTGCTCACTGCTGCTGGAAAAGTGTTAGCAGCAGCAGCAGCCAGGCATTGAAGGAAGCCCTCCCTCCCTCCTGAAGGCGTGCCTTCCCATTAGAAGAACATAACAAGAGACTAGGTGGCCCGGGAGTCCCAGAGACCTAGCATGAGAATTTCCTGATCCTGTGACGTGGCTGAGAGACAGTCGGTAAGGGACACAAGCTGATCAGAAGGACTGGGGGAGTGTATTGAACTGAACACTGTCAGCCCCAGGAATGTTACTCCACTATCACCAAACCCAGGGGAAGGTGGCCAACATCTGACCCAAATGTTCCTGGCTTCCTCTCCCCAGAGGCAAAGAGGGACAAAAGGAGAGAAAAGAGGCTTTTGCCCCATTAAAGGCAACTCATTAACAGACCTGTCAGACCCTCCCAGATGTGATAGAAAGAAAGGTACTTATATAGGCTGAAGATACAAGTGTGTGGGGGTCTCCTTTTCCAGAAAACAGCATGTCAACAATTAAAATAAATAAATGTTCCTTTTGTTTAAGCAGCCCCACTGCTGGAATCTGCCCTTTAGATATGAAAACACCAGAATTTTTTTTTTTTGTGTGTGTACATATATACATATGACTATGTAATTCACCACTGTTCAAGTAGTAGATAGGTAGAATGTCCAAATAGTAAAGAGCCATTATGAATAATAAATCAGAACATAAGATGATGACAGGAAAAGTCTACCAGGTCTATTTTGTATGAGGGTAACAAGGGCAGAAAACTATACCTACTGTGATCATACTTCGTTGAATAATCACACTCTCAGGCAAAACCATAATATATATATTATGTGTATTTTCTGTGAAGACAGAAAAATGTGAGTGAACATATACTTGGTTACTGATACCTATATGACCTGAGAGCAAGGTGAAGTATGGGCTATCAGGGAGGGCAGTACTTCTGTTTATAATGCAGAAAGGACTTGGACAAAATGACAGCCCTGGAGACGGTATAACCTAGCCCTGTGTTCGTGTTCCGTTTCCACAGAGTCAAGCAACACATCTGTACTGAACACATAACAGGCTTTTTTTCCCCTCATTATTCTGCAGACAGTGCTGCACAATGATTACATAGTATCTTAGTTAGGGTGTCTACTGCTGTGAAGAAACACCATGACCATGACAACTCTTATAAAGGAAAACATTTAGCTGGGGTGGCTCACTTACAGTTTCAGAGGTTTAGTCCGTTATCGTCATGGTGGGACATGGCGGCATGTAGGCAGACGTGATGCTGGAGAAGTAGCTGAGAGTTCTACATCTTGAGGCAGCAGGAAGTGGTCCGTAACACTGGGGAGTATCTTGAGCATATATGAGGCCCCAAAGCTTCCTCCACAGTGACACACTTCCTCCAACAAGGCCACACCTCCTAATAGTGCCACCCCCTTTGGGGGCCATTTTCTTTCAAACCACCACACATGGCATTTATAGGCTATTAGGTATGTCAATAATCTAGAGGTGATTTAAAGTATACAGGAAGAACTGTGTATGTTACATGGTAGTATTATTTCATTTTATATAAGAGATCAAGAATTCACAGATTTCGGTGTCTGGGGAGTGGGTCTTAGGAAGCAGCCCTCCACGGATACTGGCCATATATGTTATAACTGCATTTGCTTTTTATGGAATATCATGTACATGTTCAAAAGGGAAAATTTTTATTATTCTCTGTAAAAGACCTAGAGAAACCATCTCAGAACCTAGAAACATGTCAATCAAAGTGAGAGTACCACCCATCTCATTGTGCACCTGAGGGGGGTGCAGTGAGGAAGACTGTGGGATCTGTGGCTGACCTCAGAAGAGCTGGGGTTGCTCTCCTCACTTCTGGCACAGGTCTGTGTATGGGACCTGAGGCACCAGCATTCCCTCATCTCTAGGCCCTTTTTTTTTTGTTTTTCTTTATGGTTTTACGAGACAGGGTTTCTCTGTGTAGTTTGGGTACCTGCCCTCTATAAGCCAGGCTGGCCTCTAACTCACAGAGATCTGCCTGCCTCTGCCTGCCTCTGCCTCCTGAGTGCTGGGATTAAAGGCGTGCGCCACCACTGCTTGGCAAATAATTTCATTTATTTTTATTTTATGTGCATTGGTCTTTTGCCTTCCATGTATGTCTGTGTGAGGGTGTTGGATTCTGGAATTACGGACAGTTGTAAGCTGCCATGTAGGCACTGGGAATCGAACCCCGGGTCCTCTGGAAGAGCAGTCAGTGCTCTTAACTGCTGAGCCATCTCTCCAGACCTGCATCTCAAGGCCTTTATATACACTCATCCTTCTGCCAGAACAGTGTCCTTCTGATTCATTTGCTGCATTGAAGCTTGGATGTCACTTCCTTCAGGAAGCCGTCTCCATCTCCCAGAATGCAATTGAGCACCTTCCCATCTGACCCCAACAGCTGCTGCCCTTCCCCACCAGGCTGTCACCCCAGGCTGTATTCCAGCTGCTTTCTGACCTGCTTGGCCACCAGTTAACTGTCCCAGTCGGGGCCTGGGTGTCTTTATTCATTGTTGAAACTAGAATACTTAGTAGTTTGGCACAAAGTAACCACTCAGGGGATAGTTCTTGAGTTAATGGCCGTGTGCATCCGTGGATGAACAAATAAGATGAGAATTTAGAATAACTTACTCTAGGACACACTTGCACAACCCCCGTCAGGTCATGTCTCTGGGCAGTGCAGGCACATGCATGTCAAGGACCTAAAGGTGACAGAAGGAAGGGACGGAAGGAGGGGCTGTGCCCTGGCTCCCTTGTCTGGATGCCATTTGACTTGGCAGAGATCTGACCAGCCTTGATCAACTAGGCCCTCTCTCCCTGCTGATCAAACGAAGTGCACAGGAAACAGGCCAAGAGTCACAGCGGTCATGCTCGGTGGAGGATGGCCTTGCATGCAGCAAGGGGCTGGTGAAGGTGTCAGGGGAGAGGTTGTAGGTTGCTTTGGAAAGGAAGATCCCTGGCCTGGGTAGTCCCGTCGAAGCTCTGAAGATTGAGGACAGCCAGTGGAGACAGAATGCAGGGGCTGGCTTCAGGCTTAGGTCACCCCCACACAGCTCTCAGCCTGCTAAAGTTACTGTATTTTGGGGGGGTAGCTGCCTATCTTCAGAACTGCTCTAGCCTGCCTGCCTTATGGCAGTCCTCTTATGCCAACAACTAAGCACCTAAGTGGCTTTCTGAAGTACTCACAGGTATCTGGTTTGAAGCCTGTTTTGCCAGTGACACTGGTGTCCTCAATGCCATGGTGCTCCTAGCTCTAGTAAGTCATTCGTGTTTTGTCTCAGGTGGTTCTTAAGCCAAGTGAGGTAACCCATGGTCTAGTCTCCCTGTTTTAGGGACTAGGGAAGCAGACTGGAAACATAGGCTCACTTTCCCAGGCTTCTATGTTAGGAAATGGCAAAGGCAGAAGTGTAATTTCTCAAGCTTATGCTCTGAGCCCCAGCATAGTCCTTCCAGAAGGTAGCCCTGCAGGAGGGCGGCTCCCTGCAGTTAGCATTCCAAGGAAGTTGGTTTACAGTTGGAGTATACCAGAGGTAGCCATGAGACCCTTGGACCCTCCCTGCCTGAGACTACTGCAGATACCTTGCTGTGCACAGTAGCCCCCAGGTCCCTGCAATTTCAGTCTGTTTGCTCATCCTTTTATTATGTACGGTGCTCAGTGTTTTTGTGTTGAATGTTCTCATTGAGGCATACTGTATCTTCAAGGGTAGTTTCTAAAAGTAAATACTTTCAAAAACTCCTGCCTTTGAAACCCCTGTACAGGCACACACATGCGAGGGACCAGAAGAGAGCTTGGATCCCTTGGTTCTGGAGTTGCGGGTGTTTGTAGGATGCCTGTTATGTGGTGCTGTGATCTGAACTCCTGTTGTCATGATTGTACATTAAGTGTGCTGAACCACTGAGCCATCTCTCCAGCTTTCAAACTGCTGAGTTTTAAATAATAAAATTTAGTCGTTTCCTCTGCACTTCTCTTAAATTCAAACTTCATTCGGTCAGGGGAGCTGACGCATCAGAGAAATCAACCACCAGGTACCATTTTGTGTGGAGGCAACTATCTCGTAATGCTTGATGGTACGTTATAGAGTTTTCATCACAGAAGGCTGTGACAACCTCTAACAAGCTATCCACCTGCCCTTGTGTGTTTCCAGATCACACACCCAGCTGGCTGCATGTCTCAGTTTATTAAGTTCTTTGGAGAACAAATCCTCATTCTTTGGAAGTTTGCCTTACTCCGAAAGCGCATTCTGATATTTTCTCCCCCACCTGTGGGCGTCGTGTGCTACCGAGGTAACTGGGAGCCCAAGTGAGGGGCTCTGCCTAAATGCCCAGTTCATATGCTCTAGTCCTTCGGCTGTTAAGTACATTAGGAAGGGTTTGGGCCATATCAGTGGGATCAAGGCTTCTGGTTAGATTTGTATTTTAGAATGTGGAGTCTAGAGTCAGTGAAGACGGATGGGGTGTCACCTTTATATCTTGGGGAGAGATGAGGGTCTGGGCTGAAGCAGAGATGAGATAAACTGGATCAGGTTGACTGAAGTATGCAGGAGTAGAGTTGAGAAAGAGTTTAGGATGAGGCTACCAAAATGGGGGACCGAGGAGTGGTGGGGAGTTAACTTGGGTGTGTACTGCTTGAGACATTTCCAGGGAGGTGTACAGCAGGCCCTTGTGTGATTGGGTCAGGACCTGTGGGGAATAGTTGGGCTTGGGAAGAAGGTTTGAGAGTGACGTAAAGCCCATCTAGTAACCTTGGGATGGACGGCATCTCCTGGAGAGTGGGGAACAGAGGTGTCAGGTATAAGAGGTTGGCAAATAGTGGTGTAAGGACAGCAGAGTGAAGGAGATGATGGAGAGAGGGGGACCAGAGGATGGGAGGTTCCACCAGGCCAGGACATTGAGGGAGGGGAAGGTCGACAGAACCAAAGTCGAAGTCAGGCCAGTGAGAGAGATTCAGGAAACATCTATTCGATGATAAATTGCTGATGAAACCTTCAGGATATAAAGTTCTACAGTGGGTCCCCCAAAGATTTTCCAAGACCACCTGGTTATAGGATAGGTAGCGTAAACAAAGCCCTCCCCAGCTTCTGAGACAATTTCCCATTTTGCCCTAGCAAAAACATGAGGCTGGGAATTCATAAGGTTTGGTAGACTTATAGTTCTGAAAGTCCAAGAGAAGGATGCTGGTATCTGGTCATCCTCTGAAGGTCCCATGGTGGCAGAGATCACATATGAAAGAAGAGCGTGAGGGAATGAGTAGACTCACATTTTAACATGCTTTAGAGATAGATACCTGACTCGGTGTCTCCAGACTACAGTGAACATGTTATGGGGGTGGCGCCTCTATGATGTAATTCCATCTTAAAGATCCTGCATCTCTCAGTACTACTACACTGGGGGCCAAACTCAATGTGGGGTTTGGTAAAAACAACAAAATGTAGCAGCTTCCATGTAGGCCAACTGTTGGGAGGTACTGACTGACCTGCTGGTCTTGGGTGGATGGAGGAGAGGGAACAGGAGGGAAAATTCCTCACTTCTGTTGTGTCCCGTTCCCCGCCCCCCTGCAGTGTACTGTTGCTGTTGTCTGGCCAATGTCTCACTGCCTGGCATTGGGGGCACCATCCCCGAGTCGAAGCCTTTCTTCTATGTGAACGTGGCTGACATTGAGAGCCTGGAAGTCGAGGTGTCCTATGTAGCCTGTAAGTACGGGGCCCTCCCCTCCTCTCCCTGTGTCCAAACCCTTTCCTCTCAGAAATAGGCTCTTGGACTCTTGGTCCTGTAGTAGCGTTGGGGTGGCTTTCTTTGTGGCCCCTTGGGGTTACCTCATTAATCCTAGGCTCCACAGGCACCACGGAGAAGATATTTGAGGAGAAGCGGGAGCTGTACGATGTCTACGTGGATAACCAGAATGTAAAGACACACCATGACCACCTGCAGCCCCTGCTGAAGATCAACAGCGCGGACCGGGAGAAGTACCGCCGGCTCAATGAACAGAGGTGAGGCGGCTGGTCCTCCGCATCCACGCCGTGTGTGCCAGTGAGTGCAGCCCCGGCCAGTGCTGTGCTATAAGGACCAGAGACCTGGAGGGCAGTCAGCAGCACCGTCCTATGCAGGATGGCTCTGTGAAATCTAGGAAAAGCCTACTCTGCCACCCCTTTCCTTGAGCGTTCCTAAAAGCAGGGGGTGGGGAGCAGGGGCTGGAAGTCAAGGGAAGTTCTGTGCATTAGGAGGCTGGCATTCCCGTATACTGCCCTCACTGCAGGGTAGCAGACACACAGGGGTGGTTTCTGATTGGCTGGAGAATCTGAAACTCTGTGAAGCAACAGTTACAACGCTAGCTTTCAGAAACCCCCAAAGATCTTGTTTAGATTTGCTCATATATGTTTGGAATAGCCATTTATTGAGCATCTACACAGTCAGGACCCATTAGGAAACTGGTGTATGCACATTGTCTGGTGGAACTCAATTCTTTGTTTATCCTAGGAGAGAAAGAGTTAACCTATAATCCCCATTCAGTGCACAGTCAGGCAAGACAGCCACTTGACTAAGTGGGGTACTATTGGCAAAACAGGCCACAGGTCCTGGGTTTGAGCCCAAGCTTTGCTCATTCTTTTCCCAGTCTGTGGCCCGGCACTGACTGCCTGGTGGGGCTTCCTGAGAGAGATGGGCATTGTTGATGCTTGGTTGCTGCCAGTCCTGTAGTTGGATGCAGTAGCCACTGGAGTCTGATTGTGTTCTCCCTTCTCATAGGCAGATGCTCTTGTACTCCCAGGAAGTTGAGGGAGACTACAACCCTTGTGAAGAAGATCTCTTTGTGCTGTGAGTTGGCCTGGGCAGCAGCTGTGGGGCTCTGGGAATCCTTTCAGTGCTAACTTCTATAGACAGACACCTTGCTTCCCTCCCATGCAACCCACTGCCGCTGAGGGTGCCCTTTATTATTCTCGGGGCTCTCCGTGCTTCTAGGCCCTGAGAGGTAGGTAGCCCTAGTTCTGCAAACCCAGAAGGGTGAACCCAGAGTGGCTGAAGAGACGGGGCAGGTCCTAGAGAAAATGAGGACCCTGAACATGCACTTGTTGAACATTTGCATCCAGGATGTCACCACATAGCTGTCCATCTCTCCACCCTCTCACTCCTTGAAAGGACCAGTTCCTTGTGCCGAGTATTATGAGATCATGTGGACATTCAACCCTTGAATCGAGGGTAATCTCTTTTCTCCAGATCCAGTAGCCATGGAAAGGGCTGGCTCCTTTTAACACCTGTTGCATTCAAGCAACCACAGGAAGTCCTGTTTCAGAATTAGAGCAGAACTGTAATTGAAGTAGAAACAAATCTCCCTGAAAGCCCTAGCTTTGATGGAGGCATCCTCACACAGGTTTATCTTGTTTTGGCATCCACTTTCTAATGGACACACACTGTGTGTATGGGCAGACACAGTCTTGTCAAGGTGTGACAAAGAAGTCATTTTGTTGTCTGTGGAAGGCCCCGAACCCCAGAACAGCATGGCTGAATGAATGCCTTTCCAAACACAGCTCATTTACTCATTCAGCATGGCTGTAAAGCTGTGACTTAGAAATCCTGTTTTAATGTATTCTCTTGCTCCAAGGAGAGCAGACCCCGAGTGCTGGGAGCTGGGTCATTCTCAGTGAGGGCACTTGTCTCCCCTTTCCACAGCACGGGCTTCAGAACTGCCCTGTTCCTGCGCCAGCTCCTCCGAGCTCTCCCTTTCTGTGTACAGCATCCGTGACCTAGGGCTGCAAGGCCAGCACAGAGTCCTGGGCTCTCCAGCCAGGCTTGTTGGCTACCAACTGCCAGCGGGTCCAGTCAGGGCTTTGAAGACTGTGCATTTCAGTCTCTCGCTTGAAGTCTTGGTCCAGAACTGCCTTTTCAGGTTCTGTGTTTTCACTCTGATGATTACGCAGAGGGAGAGAAGGTGTCTATGGAGCCTCTCCGGGAGGCTGTGTTTAAAACAGGAAAATAGTAGTCAAGCCATCATCCATACAGATTTCTCTATCATCCGGCGGTGATTCTTAACTATGGTTTCCTTGCTGACATCATTCACACTCTAATAACCGGTTAACTTTCACCCCCTTTAAAAATTGGTAGACTTAGTTCGGAAGGCTTACAAAGTTTGGGCTCTGCATGTTTGGGTTATCTGGTTGACCTTTTTGCCTTGTCTTCTCTCCCTGTCCTGTCTTGGAAATGCAGGTTTTTCCTAGAGCAAAACAACCGGATTTTTCAGACTCTATTGGAGGTGTCCGCCAGTCAAGACAAAACTCTCACAGCAGAGCATGCCCGAGGCATGGGACTGGACCCCCAGGGAGACAGGAGCTTTCTCATGGACCTGCTGGAGGCCTATGGCATCGATGTCATGCTGGTCATTGACAACCCCTGTTGTCCCTAAGCCGAGTGCCACAGGACTGGTGGTGAGATGCTCATGTCGGGTGACAAGAACCTGGAGTGCACCCCAGGCCCTCAGCAGCTTCAGGTTTAAGTTGATACAAAGGACCGTTTATACTTTCCACCACATGTAATGTTTGCCATTTCCTTTCTCCCCCTCAGCCCTGGGCTGAGGTGAGGCCACCTGGGTTTTGTAGCTTCTGGTTGGACACGGGAGTCTACTGTCTTCCACTACCGCTTTGGATTTAGTCTTAGGAGTTCTGCCAGTCAGAGTGAGTCAAACTCTGGGATGAACGGTTGAGAAAATCTGTATGTCTTCGTCCTTTGCTGCATTCAAGAATAAGATAACCACGTGTCCTAGTGTGGCCTTAGATGTTCGTCGGCCTAAAACCAGAAACTAATCAGATGACCTTTCAAGGTCACCAGGTTCTAGGGGTCAGGTTAGGATGACCTATGTGTCATAGGGCAAGTCTGCACCTTCTAGGTTGACTGGAGTAGGGACCAGAGGAGGAAAACAGTGTCCCTGACAGAATGGCAGGGAAAGTGGAAAGCTAGAATGAATCCTTGAGATCCTTCCGAAAGTAAGGGAATGACGAGTCCCCTTGGGATGGATGGGTTGGTGGATTCTGAAGGTTGGTGCTGGCCCTGGACCTTACAAGCAAGTTCGTTTCACATTTGAGTCTCTTTTGAAGGCTGACTATGTTCTTGGAATAACAGCTTTAAACAGGCAAGGGAAAGAAATCTCATGTTTCTCTGAGAGCTCTCTGGAGGGACTGTTTGCAGTCCTGAAGCAGATACTTCTAGTGAATTCTGAACTGTAGCCAGGGTCCGAGCTGGTTGACTCAGAGGTTGGGATGTGGTGTGAATAGGTCTTTTAACCAGTTTGAAACTCCCACAAACTTATCTTTAGCAGAGACAACATTCCTTAGGCTAAGCAATCGGATCCATAGACTTAACAGATTTGACAGGGAAAATATAACAGTGCCTCCCCTGCCGAGAAATCGCAGACTAACAACCATGTCCACTTCCTTTGGTCTAGGACGGAGCCTGCAGTCAGTCGCCCTGTTCTTTGGGGCTGGGTCACTTGTGACTGCTAGGTTACTAGATGAGACATTAGATGAGAGGGCAGTTGTTAACTATACTCAGAAAGCCAGTTCCAACGCTAGTCTCCTTAAAGACTTTGTATTTTCAGTAATGATTTCTCCTATGCTCTTCCTGCCTGCCTTCGTTATATGTGAATAGCTAGCTAGCCATCAAACATCCACGTCTGTAGCCAAAGAGCAGCCAGGCTGACGTCCACAGCAGAGAGAACTTCCGATGGAGGGGCTGTGCCTCTTATCTCAATTCTAGGTTCTAGAGGCTCACCGCTTAACTCAAGTATTTTCACTGTAGTTCCCTGATAAAAAATTCAAGAGTGAAGGGATTTGCGCATGCAGATGCAGATACACACTGATGAGTCAGGGTAACATCTTTTCTGTAAATATATAAGTAAGTTTAGGCATTGACATAAACTGTTTAGCTAATAGATTTTTCTCCTCTGCAATGTGGGTTTAGCCATCATTTCAGTAACATGTTTACAAAAAACACAGCTGTGCTCAGTGGCTGGCGTTTCCCCTGCTTCTTCCTTACGGCTGCCTTCTCCTCTTGCCCCAGGGCTGACTGAACAGGGTCTATCTGATGCTGATGAAACAACACTTCTTCTAGTGATCTCTAAGAGCTCGAAGTTGGGGGTAGATAGCCAGAGATAGGAAGAGCCCATTTCTGAGGACCTCCCCAGGGCCTTCCGCTTGCCAACGCTGTTTCCTGTGCTGATGTAAAGACAACAAGGATGAGAAAGGTTGGCTTTTGTTAAGTTGGGCCTTGTGGGCCCTTTTTAACTAAGCTGCTGTTTTCCTGGTCTCTCTGTGCCCCACCCACCCACGGAGAGGGCCAGTGTATGGGTGGCCCCAGAGGGAATACAAACCAGAGACGATGTCATGTCTTAGGTCCTAGGTTTGGGGTTAGCTGACCCCAGAGCAGAACTTCTGGTTCAACATCTCCTTCAGTCCTTTCCTACTTTGCCAGCATCCTCCTGGGGCCCGAACCTGGCGCAGGCCTCCGTGTGGCTGAACAGCACGTATGTTAGCACCTCTGTAGCCTTGGCCTCCATTGATCAGCTTTGGGGTATGTTTTAGAAACGAAGCCCTGCCTGTGTCCCTGTGAAGTCTAACCATACCAGACTGCTCCCCCAGTGGCAGTGAGCAGATGCAAGCCTGCCTCCTACGCTGCAAGTTCCCTCTAAGGGAAGTAGTTTGTAGACTATAGAGGAACCCCTCTACAGTGATGGCAGAAGCTAGGAACTAGGATTGGCTTTTTGTCACTCTTTTGAAATACTTTCTGAAAAACCATCTGGTTTTATTTGGAAGAAGTTAGTTCACATCCTTAACAACTTTCTAGGTCTGACTGTCAGCAGAGTCAGGCGTGTTTTATTACCACTGGCCTCTAGGGAACAGGGTTAAAAACTCAGATGTGGGTCCTGCCAGCCCTTCTGGGGCGCACTAAACCCTATGTGTACCATGCTGTGAACCATGTGCCAACCCGGAAGCACTTGCTGACTTACATTGCTGGCTACTCAGTCATTTTTAAGTTAGAAGAAACTCCAAATGACAACAATCCTCAGGGGGCCCGAAATTGGGGTTTTGGATTTGTGGACATTCATATTAAGTATAAGATACTAAGTATAACAAAGGCCTCTTCAAGCGGATGTTTTCAGTTTTGTTAGCAGATGGTAGGTAATACTTAGGGCTCTTTCTCCAGAAGGAGTAAAAAAAAAAATAGCAGAGCTTATCTCCTACCAGTCTTCAAAGGAAGGGCAAGTCATTGCTTGGTATTAGCTTTGGCTTTAAACATGAAGCCTTCCCTGTGCTGGGCACGCATCCAGGCCAGTGTCAGTGTCCTACCTGGGGCCCATATGGCCCCGCCAGTTAGGAGTACAGTATGACAGGAGGCATTTGCCTCCCACACCTCCCACCCAGGCTATGGGAGAGAAGCTGTTCTCATTGCTGTGACAGAAGTTAGGATAGGAACTTAAAACTGTACCTTCCCTTGCTGGGAAGCACAGGAAAACCATGAGAAAGGTAAGAGTGACACTCAGATACAGTAATGCCAAGTGCTTCATGGGAAAGTTCACTTACATAATTATCTAACATATTTGAGCTAGAAGATAAAGGTAAAGTAAATCATAGCTAATTGCTGTCTTCCTGGGGTGGGGGGGTGGTAAGGGGGATGAACTTGCTCTGTCTAGAGGCGCTGAAAGCCTACCGGTGTAGTGAGAAGGTAAAAACGAACTTAGCCTTCCACGGGGACTTTCAGGAGACCTTTAAAGGGTGGCAGCCAGTTAGCCTTTGGGTGGCAAACACTATCCTCGTAGAGATGCAGGAACTCAGGAACTGTCTTTCTCTTCAACTGCACAAGAGGAGAGTGGACTGAGGGGCCCTCTCCAGGTCCAGTGTGATGGTCCTTGCAGTGGTAAGGAAGGGATACAGGGTGTGAATGAGTAGAACTATAGGGTGATGCTGAGTTTCACGGTGAACTCGCCTTACCGTGAGAAGAGTTTGAAAACGAACAAGAACATCTGTAGGAAGACCGCCAGGCTGTCCAGGGGCTGCTACCTTCCCGTTAGACCTCTAGACTAGCAGGCTGTGATTCTGAGAGCTGTCGAGCCCTCTCCTCCCTCCCCCATAGCTAATAGTTCCACTCCATGGGGAGGATCCTTAAAGCCCATGGGCTTACCTCAGCAGGCCCAGTCTCATCCCTTCTCATGAAAATCCTTTTCTGATTCGGGTAGGGGGAGGGAAGGAGCTGAGGACTCCCTTATACCCAAGTCATGGGTTTTGACTAGTCTACTTTATTGCTAATATACCTCTGTTCCCAGGAGCTACTGGAGTACTGAGTATTGGGAAAATACTGTGAATTAAGGTAATGTTTCCTATGAGAAACGAAGTCTATTTTTATACCAATGTTGCTGAGTGGTGAATTGAGTACTAAAGTGTTGAAATGGAAAGGAACTGCAAAGTTATAATCTAAGAAGGAATGGGCAGCTTTATAGTTTGATAGCAGCTGAGGCTCTTAGAGGTGTCCCCTTCCATGACAGTGTATTGAAGCCTGAGCACAGACTCTGATGTATTTTTTCAGCAGCACTGGTTGGCCTGGGAAGGATGAGATGGGCACCAACCTTGGGTGAAGCTCCAGGACAGAGGCAGTACATGCTGTCTCTCAATGACTGCTCCCTCTTGGTCAAGGGAGAGGGTGGGAATGGGAGGTGGCTTTCTACCGGGCACTTTAATTCACTCTAGCGGCTGGAAGTCGGGTGATGTTGTACATTTAGAAAAGGAGTAGGAATTTCCTGGTGCTATAGAGAAACGAAGATGGGAGAAATAAAACTCTGCTTTCGTCTCTTTAGAACTTAGTCTAGAATTTCAACATGGCCCCGGCTCTTAGAACCATGTGGACTTCACTTCTGAAAGGTTTACAGCAGAGGGTTTCTTTACATTTGTAACAGGTGTCTGCCTAGTCTAATGGCGAGTTTACTTTGCTTCCAAATGATGCTGGGGCTTACGGGGGTAGAATAGGGTTTTATAAATTGTGCATAGATGGAATTTCAAAGTGAAAAGCCCATACAGAGCAAATATATTTAACCGACATTGTATCTGGGTAAATTAAGCAAGGATATATGAAAGTTAGGAAAACGAACTTGGTGTTTGCTGTGTCCACATCAGCCATCAGAAATGGGGGATTCTGGGCTCCTGAACTGCCAGCATGAGTGGCTTCTGGGACCTGGGATGGAGGTAAACAAAAACAACTTCCTTGATTTGTCCAAAACTTGCTGGCTAAATTTTTGTGTAAGTCTGGAATATAATCCTTTCCTGAAAATGAAATAGTTGTAACCAAGAAAATCTGTTTTCCTAGTTGTTTTTTTTCCTTTTCTTTTTAAAACATAAGTGTCCCTGTTGCCTTAAATGTAAAAACCTATTTTGAGTAATAACCCCAGCCTAAGAGTTATAGCAATAAGAGACCCTAATCTATTTTTGTTTCAAGTCTTTACCTCACATGACAAAGTCAGAAGGATAACTGGTAAGTTTTGTCTGGGCACTACTGCAGAGCGATGAATCCTCTCTCTGTCTCCAGTTGTGTATTTACAGACCTGAAGAAAGCTGGACTTAACCCTGAGGCTAAGTGTAAATGTTTCCTGAATTGATTCTTTCTGTGGTACAAGTGACACCTGTGTATATCATATCTGTATATATCTGAACCAAGTTATGTGCAGAGGTTGATAATAACTATATTTACAAAAAAGCCCCAATTTTTACAATTAAAGTTCACATTTTAACATGAGCCTGTGTGCTGTGGTCCTTTACCAAGTGGCTTTTGATGGGAGGAACGGTGACGGCTCAGCCTGTGAGCAGAGCCCAGGGGCTGACGCGGCGGACGGCTCTTCCTACAGGGATGAGGACACACACTGGGGAGCTGCAGCCAGGCCTCTGAGAGACCGGGGTTGGATAAACACTCTCCAGGTAATAGAAACTGAAGTCAAAGAACCAGGACTGTGTACCCTTGATCCCCACAGGAAACTTCTAGACTCAAGAGATTTCTGAAACAAAATCGCTTCTCTAATCAGAATTTTATGTGGCATTATATAGTGATACATATGCACATGTTTATTTATACTCTAAACCTTTTCTTTCAGTTTTTTCTTTGGGAGAGTGAACTGTAACACTGGTCGCAAAGCTAGGGTCCTATTTTCTAAGTGGGATGGCCATATCTAATAGTGCCCTTTGTAAGAACTAATGTTTTTATAATTGTTCTTAAAGTTCTAAAAGTGTCAGTTGCTTGTATAAAGACCTGGAGGTGACACGCGTCCCGTCCCCCCCCCCCCCCCCCCCCCCCCCCCCCCGCCCCCCGCCATGATCCGCTCTGCAGAGCTGAGCATCTGCATACCTGTTGTTAAATATGGGCATTTTATGGATGTCCAAAGAACAAAGCAATAGACAATGAAACCCAAGTCCTTAGAGGAAACTAGGGAGTAAAACCTCCCCCCTCCCCGAGACAGGGCCTCTGTGTAACAGCCTTGGCTGTGCTGGGACTAAAGTCATGTGCTGCCACTGCCCAGCATGTGAGCAAAATTCTTAAAGTGGGCCCAATATCCTTTCCGAACCTCATGGCAGTTATGGTTAGAATCTGCGGCTACACACAGTGTTTTAAGAACGAGCCGGGCGGTGGTGGCGCACGCCTTTAATCCCAGCACTCGGGAGGCAGAGGCAGGCGGATCTCTGTGAGTTCGAGGCCAGCCTGGACTGCCAAGTGAGTTCCAGGAAAGGCGCAAAGCTACACAGAGAAACCCTGTCTTGAAAAAAAAAAAAAAAAAAACAACGAATGCTAGATTCTACACTGGTCCTTCATGCTGTTACAGAAGCCCAGTCTTTTATTTCCATATAACATAGCAGCCCCTTCCCCTCCACAGCTGGCACAGGGTAAGTGATTTACGCTCATCTCCAGACTCATCTGTTTGCTGTTGTTAAAGCAGAACGCTTACCACCACCACAAGCACACAGAACTAAACAGTCAAGCCTTACGTTTTGTGGTCTTCAGTTATGGGCTTTTTTGTAGGAACTGTCTACCTACTCCATTCATGCATTGACTTTACTCCAGTGGGACATGTGGGTGGGTATATTACTGTCTTTACATTTAAATTTTACCTTCCTGAAGTTTCTGCTACTAAAGGGGTCACTTTCCCTTTCACAATGACAAGGGCTCAAACCAAATTCATACAGAGCAGGAATTCAGGGGCTTCTCGGCATGAGCAAAGGAAATGCCCATGCTAGTATTAAAAGTAAATGGTACTGGGGCTGGAGAGATGGCTCAGCAGTTAGGACCCAGGTTCAATTCCCAGCACCCACATGGCACCTCACAACTGTCTGTGACTCCAAGATCTGACACCCTCACACAGATATATATGTAAGCAAAACACCAATGCACATAAAATAAAATTTTAAAACAATGTAAAAAAAAAAAAACAAATAAATGGTACTAATGACCTGATAGAAACTCCTTCTGTAAAATCAAATGTTTTTAGTTCTCAGCTTGCAACAGACTATAGAGGAAGATCTAATCAGATTGTTTGTCAAGAGATCATCATTAATTTTAATGCAGTAGTATACTTTTTCCCACTAATCAAAGCAATTAAAAAATGATGTTATAATTCTTACTCCCATCTTCTTTCTGGGCTCATAAATAATAAAAAATGAAAAAGGAATATAACTGATACTGGATATCCTTGTTTCACCAGAATTATTTATATATTGGATAAATGAACTAGTTACAAACAAGAACATTCTAGTAACAATTTTTAACTACCAAAAAATTACTTACTGCTTCAAATAACTCTAATAATATATGCCAATAATTGTTAAAACAGTTGTTCTGTAATGAGTTAGCCCGTAAGTTATTTAGACATATTTTTTGCTGAGGAAAAGCAATTGGTAAAAAATGCCAAGCATAAAAATAAACTACGATAAGAATCCCTTCGCTGACACAGTGGTTTAGAGATGTGCCCAAGGGAGAAAAAAAAATTTAAAAATTTCAAATAGTGAAGAGTTACTTCACTGGTTTATTTATATAAATAAATGAGGGATGCATTTAAATTACACTGGGTATGTTTAAAAGAATGATGCGACACTTTTTATTTGTAAACAACAGTATTCACACAATACCAGAAAGCACACTGATAAGTGTGTAACTTCCCATGAAAAACGACAGATGTCAACATGAATACGTGATTTTTGAAAAATACATATAATACATTTGGGAAAGTCAGAGTTTATGAAGTAGTTTTAAAATACTTCCTCCAGGTCTGGTTGGTTGACCTGGGAAGCAGGCTTTTAAATGGAGATTCCAGCCAGATTGAGTTACACGGTGTTGGGGTGGGTCCCAGGTCAGTTAATTTCACCATGCGCCTCAGTTGTGCACATGCAGACTAACAATGAAGAAGCACTGGTTTGCTCTTTCAACGGCATAGTATGATAGCCATGGCTGAAGAGGGAACAACCTCACATCTGCTGTCCAGATGGAGACCAGCCAAAGTGGAGATCACGGAGGAACAGCACCCATGAGAGAGCCCGGAAAGAGGGAGAGGCACCTGAAGAAGGCAGCTGCTTCCCCTGGATGCCCTAGGACGGTCAGAAAACTGGAGCAGTAGCTTAGTCTACACATTCCACTCCACTGTGGGGCAATCAGAAAATCCCAGTCCTTTCCAACTCACTGAGTGCAAGAACTTCCTTGACCCAGCCTGAGCACAGCACTATGTCGGAGGGATCAACTACCCCCGCACAAGGAAAGCATGGGTAACAATGCTGATCGCCAGCTGGGTGACAGGGTCTGTACACGGGGAAGCACTACAGGAGGAGGGGCAGGAGTACTTGCCATGAAAATTCCCTTGGGATCCTGTGACAACAACACTCTGGGGACAGATGAGGCACACCCGTTCCCTTGTGGTCCCACTGGTGGCTCGAAGTGCAGCCTGCGAGCGCCAGGCTGCCGCTGGGTCACTGGGAGGCACTCTGCAGCATCTGCTCTCTCTTCCTTGGGTCACAGAAGAAGTGCAGTTTCCGGGGCAGCAGTTTCACCTCCACAGGCATGGCTTCATATTCCTCGCTGTCAATGCTGAAGGAGCCCTCAGTTCCCTGGAGAGAGGAGGGGGTTCTGAATGCACCTCTGTGACCACTTAAGGAAGCATCTCTGCTGAGGGCCCAATCTAACAAAATCTCCCAGTGCTGAATGGTCCTAGAAATATCTCAGTTTCCTCTCCAGTCCATGAAAACGGTTTTTTCTTTTTTAAAACTTGTATCTCAAAAAAACATTTTGGAGCTTGAATGAGGTTAAAATTTTAAAATATTTATCAAAAGGCACCAGGTGGTGGTGGCGCACACCTTTAATCCCAGCACTCGGGAGGCAGAGGCAGGCAGGACTCTGAGTTCAAGGACAGCCTGGTCTACAGAGCTAAACTCCAAAGCTACACAGAGAAACCCTGTCTCAAAAAGAAAAAAAAAAAATTTATCAAAAGGCAAGAGCCCTTCCATATTATACATGTATGAAACTGTCAAAGAACTAACATGATAAATAAGCAAGGATATCCATTGGGAAAAAAATTGATGAATGTGTAACCTAGGGCCGGGGACTATAATCCTTCTAAGCTAAAAGCAAAAACAACAGCTAATTCTCCTGTGAGGGACGTTGTGTCCACCACCTCATTTTCATTATTCCCCAAGCCTTGCTGGGCTTTAGTCTTGGATGTGCCAACACTAGCATCATCACAGACTCGGTGGAGCCCTGCCATAACTCATTTAAGCCAGCATCTGCTCCATGAAATCATGGTGGCAGCACATGTGGACACCTCCTATCTATCTGCCTGCCTGCAGTTTCCATGCAGTACAGCAGCAGCATGGCCATTGCTCTTCAGAGACCTGGAGGACATCTTTCCTGCAGCAGTAGCAATCAAATTACTTTCAATTCATGTGTCTTCACTTTTTTTTTTTTTTTTTTTTTTTTTTGGTTTTTCGAAACAGGGTTTCTCTGTGTAGCTTTGCGCCTTTCCTGGAACTCGCTTTGGAGACCAGGCTGGCCTGGAACTCACAGAGATCCGCCTGGCTCTGCCTCCTGAGTGCTGGGATTAAAGGCGTGCGCCACCACCGCCCGGCTGTGTCTTCACTTTTTATTCCTACTTAGAAAGGTTGTTATTCTAAGTGTAGCACACAACAGCATACTTTAAGGAAAAAAGAAAATCCACTGTTTACCAGCTAGAAAATTGCTCAGATAATACTGTTGTAAACATCTTTTGCATTATTGGCATGAAGAAGCAAAGGTCAGGGGACCTGAGGATCACTTTGAGGGAAAAGCTTGGCTTAGAGACTCGAAGTCCTCAGAGGCCTGCTCCCAATCAGTAATTTAGGAGCTTCTGCCTCTCTTCTTTACCTCAGACCTGATAATGAGTTTGCCAAACAGAAGGCACCTAAATGGCAGTCAGTGTGGAAGGAGGAAGGAGAAAATGGAGGGACAGACAGACCAAGCCCAAACAGCGACCGGCGCAGCTTACCTCAGGAAGCCGCAGGGTGCAGTGGCTGGCTTGAAGACACTCGGTACCAGCTGCCCGCAGGCCAGGGTCTCTCACCTTCTTACTTCTATTAGTGTAGGAAAAGGCAAGGTCAGGTCTTTGATGGCAACTGCACTAGACTGCAGAAAAGCCCCGTCTCCCTCCCCTTGAGGGCAAGTGAGAGAGACTAGGACAGGACAAATCTTCCCTATGACTCTTGTCTAGTGTTGTGATATGTTCTGGAGCAAGC